CCCCTTCAGTCACATCAAGCATGGCAGCAATGCCCCTTCAGTCACATCAAGCATGGCAGCAATGCCCCTTCAGTCACATCAAGCATGGCAGCAATGCCCCTTCAGTCACATCAAGCATGGCAGCAATGCCCCTTCAGTCACATCAAGCATGGCAGCAATGCCCCTTCAGTCACATCAAGTAAGGGAGCAATCCCCCTTCAGTCACATCAAGCATGGCAGCAATGCCCCTTCAGTCACATCAAGCATGGCAACAATCCCCCTTCAGTCACATCAAGCATGGCAGCAATCCCCTTCCGTCACATCAAGTAAGGGAGCAATCCCCCTTCAGCCACATCAAGTAAGGGAGCAATCCCCCTTCCGTCACATCAAGTAAGGGAGCAATCCCCCTTCCATCATATCAAGTAAGGGAGCAATCCCCCTTCCGTCATATAAAGTAAGGGAGCAATCCCCCTTTCCGTCATATAAAGTAAGGGAGCAATCCCTCTTCCATCATACAAAGTAAGGGAGCAATCCCCCTTCCGTCATATAAAGTAAGGGAGCAATCCCCCTTCCGTCATATAAAGTAAGGGAGCAATCCCCCTTTCCGTCATATAAAGTAAGGGAGTAACCCCCTTCCGTCATATAAAGTAAGGGAGTAACCCCCCTTCCGTCATATAAAGTAAGGGCGCAATCCCCCTTCCGTCATATAAAGTAAGGGAGCAATTCCCCTTCCGTCATATAAAGTAAAGGGAGTAACCCCCTTCCGTCATATAAAGTAAGGGAGTAACACCCTTCCGTCATATAAAGTAAGGGAGTAACCCCCCTTCCGTCATATAAAGTAGGGAGCAATCCCCCTTCCGTCATATAAAGTAAGGGAGTAACACCCTTCCGTCATATAAAGTAAGGGAGTAACCCCCCTTCCGTCATATAAAGTAAGGGCGCAATCCCCCTTCCGTCATATAAAGTAAGGGAGCAATTCCCCTTCCGTCATATAAAGTAAAGGGAGTAACCCCCTTCCGTCATATAAAGTAAGGGAGTAACACCCTTCCGTCATATAAAGTAAGGGAGTAACCCCCCTTCCGTCATATAAAGTAAGGGAGCAATCCCCCTTCCGTCATATAAAGTAAGGGAGCAATCCCCCTTCCGTCATATAAAGTAAGGGAGCAATCCCCCTTCCGTCATATAAAGTAAGGGAGCAATCCCCCTTCCGTCATATAAAATAAGGGAGCAATCCCCCTTCCGTCATATAAAGTAAGGGAGCAATACCCCTGCAGTCATTTAAAGTATGGGAGCAATCCCCCTTCAGTCACAAAGTTTGGGAGCTATCCCCCTTCAGTCATTTAAAGTATGAAAGCAATCCTCCTTCAGTCATTTCAAGTATTAAAGCAATACTCCTACAGTCATAAAGTGTGGGCGCTATACCCCCACAGTCAAAGTGTGGGAGCAATATCCGTACAGTTATATAAAGTGTGGGAGCAAAACCACCTCCGGCATGGAACGCATAGCAGCAATCCCTCTTCAGGCCGATAATGGAGAAATACCCCCTCATTAACCCATATAATGAATTGTTGAAAGTCTGCCAGACATGTAAATTAAATTTCAAGTCTTCTTTCCCCTCGCTAAGAGCTGTAAAATACTTAGCAACTATCACAAACATCTGTGAACTTGATGCAACATACTTTGGACTTCATAAGGAATTCTTTAAATAACACAAATAATTAGAAAGCTGCAGCATAAGAGTAATAGAAGTTCCTGAAGTATAGGATGAAAAATGTCCCGTCAGTCAGACTGTGTCGTGTCCTGTGTTTATGTTCATGTTCCCTGTAGGGATTACACACTGCTGCACAGTGTCAGCTGCCCTTTCATGTCAAGTGCTACTAGTTCAGTCTCAACCCATTGAGAAATGACAGCGGCGTGGGACAATTACTCCAAACTCCACGTAAGAATGAAAATAAATGAAATGG